CCCCACCACCGCCCCCGTCTGGTGGGGCCGCACCGAAAGAGGAGCAAGACTCCCCTCTCAACCCCCGATAAGGATAAATGTCAAAAAAGATATTTTCAGAGGCTGTGTGGGAGTGGAAAGCTGTGATGCTTTATGCTTGACGTCGAGCTCGCCAACGCCTACTCACTAAATTTTTATGAACTTTTTGATACGCACCTACGCATTTCCCTGTGCATGCTCAATAGCGAACTATTTTAAACGCCGCTATAAACCAAATTATCTGCAAACTTAAGTGTGAGACAGTCTCACAGTTTAAACTGTGAGACCACTGTGTCTCACACTTCCTTAAACTATTTTCTGTTCCGTGGAAATGTATTTTCAAATTTTTTCATAAGTGCTTAAAATAATACGCATAGAGCATGCTCAGGGAAATACGTCCCCTGCGTACAAAAAGAGTTCAGTGCAATTTAGTGTGTACACGCCTGAGACGAGGTGGACTCTGGAAATACAAATAAGGTGCTAAGTCCTACCTTTACGAAGGCACTAAAACTGCCAAAAACACACCAATTATTAGCACCTTTAGGGCCCTTTAGTGCCTTTCACAGGGGCACTAAACTCAGAACTTGTTTAGTGCCCCAAGAGAAAGGCACGACTTTAGCACCTTTGTTTTTCCAGTGGAGGCGCACTGTAAAATGTATTTATTTATTGCCCCTTCTTTACACGCCTCTTGTAACAAAACCTCGACTGGCGTGTGATCTGCGACCTCGCGACTCAGTATATGACCGTGAGAAGAGTCGATCCCTTACCCAACCACGTACTTTCGCGAACCGTTGCGAAAGGCCAACATCGATGTCTAATCCGGGACGGCACCTGCCGGCGTGAGCTCTCTTCGCCGTTAAAGCGATTCAGCGAAATCTGCGTGGTTCGTCAGCTTCGTCTGTCCACAATCAGCAACAACTAACGCTCTTTGCGACGAGAATGGCGATTCCAGGAGAACCTCCCCGGCGTCTGCATCATATTCTACAATCACGTTTTCCTCCGCAGTGTGGCGGCGTGTGGATGTATCCAGAAGGCCCCACGCCCCCGCCGTCGCTGTGGGGTTTTCCTGGAATTTCCAGAGGACGTCACGCAGGAAGTGGGCGGGCCAGATAATGGTTCATCCTCGACCCCGCCCCGCCCCGCCCTTATCGGCCGGCCCTGCGGAGGCAACAAACAGCCGGAAGAGAGCAGCAGCCGCGGAGTTAAGCCCCTCTGCTGGAGAGAGGCGGCCATGGAGGGGGATGGAAAACTTTGGGATTGAAAGGGTGGCTCGGCTGCTCCAAAAGGGGAGGGGGGAGGGGGAGAGGGAGGAGGAGGGGGAAAGGGAGGCGCTGGAGAACGGCATGGAAAACAAGGGGCTCTTATCCGAGCCGCAAAATCATCCCCTCAGTAATATCCGCGACGAGCCGAGTCGGGTCCGAAAGTCCGTTAGGCCGGGCGGAACCGAGCCGAGCCGAGCCGAGCGTTGCTTCGGTAGCGTGAGGCGGTCCTAAAGTCTCCCTCTGTGCGGCAACTCGACTGAGATTTATCTTACGCTGCGTGTGCGTGTTGTGTCACTTTTGGCCAAGAACGGAATTGTTTATTCTTCATTTCTTGTTTTTTAGACAGTCCCGAAGACTGTCTCTATACCAAAAGGCAAATTCCACCCCTCCCCCCCCCCACTCCTCGCTATCGACGGGCGACTAGCGTTTGTCATTAGGTTTGTGTGAGCTGTACCAGCTGTACGAATACCTCAAGGGGAGCTTTGTGCTTTGTGGCGTGATCGCGGGGACTGTCGTCTTCTGTTCGTCAATAACAAGGCGAGACTACTTGCGATAGCCATATTTTATTCTTCAGTAAACTCCTTGGTGAAATCTTTTCAAATTCAGCCGCTGCTAAGACAATAATGCTTACGTAATTCGCGTTGCACAAATTAGAAAGAAATGCGTACACGAAGTGTCTGCGTTAATTACTGTTTGTCATAGAAAGACGCGCTCTCTCTCTCTCTCTCTCTCTCTCTCTCTCTCTCTCTCTCTCTCTCTCTCTCTCTCTCTC